GAATCCGATGTGATTTAATGGTTTTAGCGTTGTTTGATGTGTTTCGATGATTAGAACAAGTTTGAAAAATGGTTTAGGATGTGTTGCTGCTTTTGGTTGAGGTCCCGGGGGCCTCGGGGTGGTTTCGGATGGTCAACCGGACCATTTTTGGACATAAAGATTGCAGGTTCAACTATTTGTGTTGCAGAAGAAAATTGCTCATCGCGTTCTCATGGGTGAGTCGCGAACGCGTAGAGGGAATTTCAGGGCATGGAAATTTTGTCTTCGCGTTCGCGTGGCATTGGGTCGCGTTCGCGTAGTTCTGAAAGGCGAAGCATCGCGATCGCGATTTGGCTTCCGCGATCGCGTAGAAGGAAGTTAAGGCCCTGAGAAATTGTTCAATGCGTTCGCGGCCAGGTGGACGCATTCGCCTAGTTGGAAGTCCTAAAGGTACGCGTTCGCGGGTTGGGCACCGCGTTCGCGTAGGTTTATTTTGGTCAATGTTTCTGTTCATCGCGAACGCGGGGAGTTGCCGCGTTCGCGTAGAGTAAAATGCACCTGGGCAGAAGGGTTTTTTTATATTATTTCATCCGCGAAGCTTGGTCTATTTCTCCATTGTTGAGCACCTTGAGAGCTTTTGGTAGAAACTAAAGAGGGTTTCGACGGGAATTGATTGGAGGTGAGTCTCGTGACCTAGAATCATCATTTTATTGAAGAATCAACACCTAAATTCATGGAAATTTGATTAAAAATGGAAGAACTAGGGCTTGACTTTTGAAATGGAAATTTGGAGTTTGAGGGAGCATTGGAGCTCGGATTTTGGTAAATTTGATATGTATGGACTCGTGGCGAGGTAAGGAATCCATTGATGTTAATTTTCTGATTTTTCGAGGAGTGGGCCCGAGGCTCGGGTTTTGCTAATTTAGAGATTTTTGCTATTTTTCGATTGTTTTCGATTGGGTATTGTCCCATTAGCATATTGTGATGTATTCGCTCTGATGTTGGATAGATTCGACGTGCGTGGAGGCCTGTTTGAGGGGCAAAGGCGTCGCGAGCTAGAGATTTCACCGGTTCGAGGTGAGTAATGATTGTAAATGATATCCTGAGGGTTTGAAACCCCGGATTTGCACATCGTAGTTCTATATTGAGGTGACTTGCACGCCGGATAGCGAGCGTGGGGTAGAGCGCCGTTAGGGATTGTGACTTGGTCCGTCCCGGTTGTTGATTTTACCGCGTATTTGACTGAAACTTATTTGATATTATCATGATTTGGGCTGATTGCCATACTTGGGCTTCGTGCCAATTATTTGAACCCCTCTGGGGATTTTTATCACTCTTTCCTCACCATTTGATATACTACTTGAACTCTATTCTGTTGATTATACTGTTTTTGCAAACTCAGCCGTTTTAATCGATTTTTGAGATTTTACTGATATTTCACTGTTGTCTGGGCTGAGAACTATTATTTTATTGATGCCCGAGGGGCTTATGATATTTTCTGGACTGAGTGAGGCTTTCAGGCCTTGAGCATGAGGTGAGGAGGCTTCCAGGCCTCGAGTGATATGTGAGGAGGCTTTCAGGCCTCGAGTGTATATGTGAGGAGGCTTTCAGGCCTCCAGTGATATGTGAGGAGGCTTTCAGGCCTCGAGTGTATATGTGAGGAGGCTTTCAGGCCTCGAGTGATATGTGAGGAGGCTTTCAGGCCTCGAGTGTATATGTGAGGAGGCTTTCAGGCCTCGAGTGATTTGTGAGGAGGCTTTCAGGCCTCGAGTGTGATGTGAGAAGGCTTTCAGGCCTCATGTTGATATGTACAGGCTTTCAGGCCTTATGATGATATAACGCTTGGGCTGTAGGAGCCCCTCCGGAGTCTGCACCCCCACAGTGAGCGCGGGTACCCATGTGATTTGAGAGTGAGCCCGAGGGGCTGATGTTGTACTGTGTGACTGATACTGAGCCCGAGGGGCTGATACCATTCTGAGTGATGTGATACTGTGCCCGAGGGGATGATACAGTTCTGAGCGATTGATATTGAGCCCAAGGGGCTGGTACTGTTTTGAGATGTGCCAGAGGGGCGTACTTTTATGTGCTCATCTTGCATATTTATTTGCCCTTTTTACCTGTTATACTGTGGTATTTATGCCCGAGGGCGAATTTTTCTGTGCTTATCAGCACTAACTGTTTGAAATCGTTTCCGTAATTATTGAAAAGATCATTTTCAAAGGAGATTTGAACTGAGCCAAGATATTTCTAAAGATTTCACAGATTTCACTGTTTTCTCAGAAAATTGTACACGGCTTCTATACAGCATGTTGGTTGCTTTACGTGATTTCTTGCTGCTCAGTTATTATTTACTTTTATTACTCACTGAGTTGGAGTACTCACTTTACTCCCTGCACCTTGCGTGCAGATGCAGGTATTTGTTCACCCGGTAGCGGGTTTTGAGCTGGTTGAAGATTTTGCTATCATAGCTGAGCAAGGTGACCGCCAACGTTCGCGGCACCAGATTTCTTCCTCTGATCTATTATGTATATTACTGGCCTTGTAGTTGTATTTAGACTCCTCTAGATGCTCGTGACTTGTGACACCCCGGTTTGGGCTGTGTTTGGTTGTACTTCCGCTAAGTAATATTATCGAATCATCTTCAAAACTTTTTATTCATGTTTATCTATTTTTGAAAGAGGCAATTAGGGTTGGTTGGCTGGCCTTGTCTTCACGAGAGGCGTCATCACGACCGTAGCGGAGTTTGGATCGTGACATGGTAACACTTCCATTTTGTTGGAATTAATATTCTTTTGTAGTGAATAGATGGACCTTTTTGGTAGGTGTAATTGGCTAATAATGGAATATACCGGGTATAATATAAAGTATATGTTTGGTTTATAATATATTAAACTTGGAGAAACTTTTATTTATAATTTTAACACTTTCTTAAAGGACTTTGGATGAAGAGATATTGGAGAACACCTTTGTGATATTATTTTATCTTGGGATTAGCTATCCCAAAATTGTTATCACACATTGAATATTGTATAAAAACAATACCAGAATTGTCTTATAACAAGTGACGGTATCGCTGTTTGCAACAAATTTTCTTAAGACGAAAAATAAATTGCAACAAAAATAATATGAAGAAAAAAGTAATTTTATTGATAAATATTCGTGAGTACAATTTTATGTATCCCTTGATTCTCCTCTCTAAAATTCTCCGTGATTCGAGGGCTGAAGCAGCGTATTTCTCAAATGTAAGATGATGCAGACCTCCTGGATGTATTTGATCTTGAATGTTGTTAGGAATTTGAGCAAGACATATTTGACTTGTCTTTGATCTCTTAATGAATATTCCAAGAGTTTCATGGAATTTCGGAGATCTCATATTTGATCTCTTTGTGCATATTCTGGGCGTGCCAATTTATTCGCAATAAATTATTTGTGATTCAAAAATAAATTGCAACCACAATATAAATATGAAGGAACATAATTTTATTCATAAAAAGACGCGGGTACAATTCTGTTTATCCCCTTGATTCTTCTCTCCTGATTATCTCTGTGATTCGAGGGCTAGAACAACGTATTTCTCGAACGTAGGATGGTGCGGGCTTTCATGGATTTATTTGATTTCCATGAAGTATGTTGTGGATCTTCTTGAAGTATTTGATTATCAAGAATTATCCGGCCACTTCTTGATCTCTTTGTGAATATCCCGTGAGTTTATGGGATTTTCGAGATGATCTCCATTTTTGAGATCTTTATTAAAGGATTATGTAATCCTTTTTATAAGAGTGACCTAGGGTTTTGGTAGAGTAGCATCTAAGCAACACTGACAGACTCCTAGAATTTCAAGAGGTCTTGTAGTATCTTGAATTTAGGATTTAACTCGATCCATTAAGATTTCAATATCTACAATCGCTTATATCCGAAAAACGAAAATTTCAAATACGGAATTAAATAATCTTACTTTTTTATCACGAGATTACTATCTTTTATACCACAAACCAAGGTGGTGAATAGAAGCATAAGGTCAAAGTCCTCAATTCGACCTACTTAGGTAGAAAAATGGTAATAAAATTACATCAAAATATCAATTTTCTGACTTATTATCTGTATCTCAAAATTTCAATATCGTGTGTTTTCCTGCAAGTTTTTCCTTTTGTTTAACTGTCCCACAAGCTTTTCTCCTTCTGTTATTAGAGAATTTTCAATGTTTTTTTCAATGGAAGAGAAGAGAGATGAATTTAAGCATTTTAATACTTTATTAGTTGGGGCCAAATTATCAGTGAACCATATTCTCTGTCACGATTACTATGAACAAACCACTTTATATACATAATATAACCACAAAGGCGGCTAGATTATATTAAGCTAATAAAATTTAATACTGAATTTATAAAATGAAATCTTATTTATTTAGTCACTATAAAAGAGATAAAATTTTCATGTATAGGTATATAAAATTGTAAATTGAGTGCTACACGAGAGATTATAGAGTATCAACAAAAGAGGCAATGACTAATATCAGAGGCAGACCTACCTTAGGGTTAGGGGGATTACCGGAACCCGTTAGACTCGGGAAAATACTGTAAATATATTTTATATATATTTATATATATACTGGGCACCCTTAAATAATTTATCTGGCCACCTTAGTAAACTAAAGCAAGGCAGACGTGTTGGTTTTGTAGCTTGTTCAAGCACTTCAGTTTAGGGGTGTTCAAAACCGAACCGAAATCGAAAACCGGACCGAAATCGAAACTTAATGGCTAATTGGTATCGGGTTAACAGTTTAACGGACGGAGAACAGATTGAAATTTTTTATTAACGGCTTATCGGTTTGGGAGCGGATTATTCAATTTTCTTAACGGATAATTCGTTAACCCGTTAAGAATATATATATACATATAAAATTTATTTTTATCCCCATATATATTAAATAATCAAAAGCACTTCTTCCTCCAGTAGTCTATCAAAGTGAATTAGAATAAAAGAAAGCCAAATAAAAGGAGTCATATAACTGTGACAAAAGACAGAATTTGCTGTCTGAAACAAGATAACAACACCAGTTACACCACTGCTTCATCAACTTTGGCTAGGTTTTAAGGACGAACATTTGTTTTAACAAAGGCCAATGTGCATACACATAAATAAGATTCTAGATAGATGATTTACCCATCACGGTGTCACTTCCCAAAACCACATTTAGGACATGGACATTTTATTCTATCTCCTATACAAGCATTCTTAAATGCAAAATTTAGAAATTGATTCAAACCAAGTAAATACTTTGTTGTATTTCTAGGCATTCCAATCCAAGATTTATCCATTGAAAAGTATTGATATATAACCTTTCAGAAGTGATCCGCCGATAAGGATTTCTCTGAGCAAGAGTGTTTACTGTAACCTACAATATTTCCATGAGAAAGGATGATTTAGTAACCTATCAACGCAATAACATTATAAATTATTTTGTAAGATAATGTAGCTTGGACTGCTATATGTATAAATAAATGCAAATTAGCAGTTGATGTGAATTGATACAGGAAATCCAAATTACAAGATAGAACCAAATACATACACATACACATATTGATTGTTGTTACCAATCTCTATGTTACTTCGGTCCTTTACTTTGCTTTCCTTCTAAACATTTTCACATTTCCACACTTCTATTGTAGGAGAAATGCAGCAGATTTCTCTTAATTTCTTAATTGCTAGGACTCCTCGATAATTCATTTTATATGTTGTTGACCCATTTTTCATACTCATACAGCTATGATTCTATTGATCTTAAACCACTGTATAGCAGTGTAGCCAGTAATGATATGTTCCTACTTGTTCTGTGCCTATACTGAAATTTTTTATTTGGAAAGCTAAAGTCATTTTCCTTGTAGAAGTAATGATATGTTCCTACTTGTTCTGTGCCTAAACAAAAGTATTTACAAATATGAAAAGAACCTCAGCACCACCTTAAGAACAGCAAAACAATATAGTAAAGGAAAAGAAGGAAATATACAAACTAAAATATCAAAGATAAACAACAAATTAATTACAAAGGCTCCCCATTGGCAAGTCAGTAACCTGCGATAGGAAGAATATGAGGTGCTCCAGAAATCACTAAGGTGACTAGAGTGTAGGCTACTATATGATACTTCTTGTCAAAATTAGCATATTTGTCAGAACAAATAGCTCTACAGATGAGACTAAGATAGAAATTCAAAAGAAACTACAACCACTTGAAATCAACACAGGCTCAAATGCAGTACTTACTGCACTTCAAATAGGTCATGTTCATTTTCTACCGGTTGGAAAGTAGTACTGTAGTTTTTGTACAGAAAAACAACGTAATGTTCATATAGGTAATGTTCAAATAGGTAATGTTCATTTACTGCACTTCCATATTATTAAACAGAAAAACAAAAAATGTACCTTGAGAGGAAAAGCAACCAGAGGCAATTGTGTCTTCTCTGAAGGTCCGCAGGAGTTCTAAAATACACATGCAAAAGGAAATATTTTAATTAAGACCCAAATCACAGAAATTAACCTGCAAAATACACAAAAAATCTAAATTCTATAACCTTTAATACCTAATGCAAAAGGAGAAAGAGGACTTACATCTCGATTTCAATAAAGAGTGTTATATCCTTCTTCAAATACACTGATCCTACAAAATTTCTTTTACTTTCTGTTGAGAATCGAAAAACATCAAGATGAAAGAAAGAGAAAAAATCAGTAAAGGAAAAACACAAATTAACAAAGAAAATAAACTTAAAACCCACATGCATGAAGAAAGAAAGACAAAAAAGCAAAATCAAAGAATGAAAAAGCAAAATCAAAGCAAAATCGAAGAGGAATTTGTATGAAAGTGGGCTGCTATGAAGGCAAAATCGAAGAGGAATTTTTGAGGAATCTGTATGCTAATCGAAGAGCAAAATCAAATAAACTTACATCCAATTAAAGGAATTTTTGAGGAATTTGTATGCTGCTCATTTTCATCCCTTGTCTGCTAGGTCTATTAAGGATTTGGTTAAAGGGACGTTTCTGAAAATGAAAGAGGGTTTTTTTTAGTTTGTAGCTGAAAATGAGAAAAGGGTTTGAGAAAAAAAAGAGAGGGAAAGGATTAAAAAAAGAGGGAAACATTGGAGTTAGTGGGCGCTATTTTTTTAAGGGTTGCAGAGGTTACCAACCGCCGTAAATATAACATATTTGCGGGGGTAAATAAACCCCTACAATTTGATATAGATTGCGGAGGTTATAGTAACTGTCGCAATTAAACCGCCGCAAATTTAGCATTTTTTTTGTAGTGCTCTTAGTACGTCGACCATGTATTTAAACATACAGAGACTAAATTTTCTTTTATTTTGATTGAATTAGGCCGATAAACCGCCCGATAAGAGCTAAACCGATACCAATCCTTCGATATCTTATCGGATGACTAGCGGATTAATATATTTAAAAGCCGATAACCGATAAGCCAAACCATTTAAAGTAAATTACCGCCCAATCCGCCCCCGATAAGCAGCCCTACTTCAGTTACTTGAAGGATCCAGGTTCGTAACCTGCCCCCTACGTTTGCATTTTAAAATTCTTTTAGTCAACTTGTTTTTTTTTTTTTTTTGAATTCTTCATTACAAGTCTTAACTTTTATCCTTCTCCAAACTAAAAAATAAAACCAACCCCACCTCTCTTTCTCTTTGAGTTCTTTAATACTTGTATCTAACTTTTATCCTTTTCCAAACTAAAAAACAAAACCAACCCCACCTCTCTTTGTCTTTGAATTATTTAATACTTGTACACAATAGTTAACCTAAACCATTCTGCTAAAAAACAAAACCCCATTTTCAATTAACCCTTTTCTACTTCTGCTCGAGCTCAAATCCGGTGACCGGTAGTCTGAATCGGCGTCGGCTACTGGATTGAGGCTCTTCTTTAACTGAAATAGTAGGTTTCTTAGAGTAAAATCTTGATTGTATTTGAGTAAGTTTTTTCTTTCTTTTGAAAATATTAACTTAGCAAAGTAATTTGGTATCAAAATTTTGCTTTCGTTAGAGCCAAAAAGTAATTGCCAAATTAATTTTGTATGCATTTGAATATTATGTGCTAATGTTATATATTTTGAAGTGTTTCTTTTCAAACCAAAACTTCAAATTAGGGAATTTTTTACAGACTAGAGTAAAATTTGGAACTTGTTTAATTTAATTAATACTTGTTCTCATAGTAGCTACACTAAGCAGTAAGCCATAAAATCTTATTATAACTTGAATATCAGAACTTTTTTATTTACACGACAAAATGTAGTATTGATACAAGACAAAATGGAGTATGGACTCTTAAATTGAATTGAATCATTGTTTGGTAGGAAGTTCTTGTTCTTATAACTTGAGATGGACGTATTTTTGACGAGGTTTAATTCTTCTCAACCAAGTTCTAATTTTAGAGAGAATTCTTCCCGTCTAGTCGATGAATTTGATGTGGAATCATTAAATCCCGACCCCGGAGAGAAAATACCCATTGATAAATATAGCCTTGAGATGAAGTGAGAAAATACTACATTCAACAAGGGCATTGTCAACTGGTTGATTACAAATTCCCTAAAACTTTATTCGGAAAGAAAATGCGTCAAGTTATCATAGAATTGCGCCGAACATTATCCTTAGAGCCAAAAACTAAATGCGTCAAGTTTACAAATTCCCTAAAACTTTATGCAACATTCCCTAAAACTGTATTTTGCTGATATGTTATCATACTCGTGTAACGACCCGACTGGTCGTTTTGAGCAATTGCGCCCGGTTCGGCAGTTTGAGGTCTCGAACAGCTTCACATTATGTATATCGACTTGTGTGCATGGTTGGATTCAGTTTCCGGATGAATCGGAGTGTAATTGGAAGAAGGAACCTAGTTTTGGAAGTCTAAACATTGAAAAATTTGATCGGAATTGGACTTTTGAGTAAACGGCCCCGGAATAGGTCGTGGATGATCTCAACAGCTTCGTATGGTGATTTCGGACTTAGGCGCACGTCCGAATTTGAATTTGGAGGTCCGTAGGGTAATTTGAGGTGTTTCGGCGAAAGTTGGAAAAGTTGAAGTTTGGAAAATGGAGATGTTTGACTCATAGTTGGCTTTTGTAATATCGGGGTCGGAATGCGATTCCGAGAGTTGGAATAGCTTCGTTATGTCATTTTGGACTTGTCTGCAAAATTTGGCATCATTCCTGGTTGATTTGGTAGGTTTCGGCACGAGTTTTGGAAGTTGGATGGCTTGAAAGTTCCTCAAGTTCGATTCTTGGTGTGATTCGTTGTTTCAGCATTGTTTGATGTGATTTGAGACCTCGAGCGAGCCATGTTAGGTTATGTAACTTGTTTATGTGTTTGGACGGGGTTCCGGGGGCCTAGGGTGTATTCCAGGTGGGCTTCGGGTCATTTTTCCCATTGTTTGGACTCTTGTATTTTGCTTCTGGTATTCCTTCTCCGCGATCGCGAACAGCCTTTCGCATTCGCAATGTGTTGTTGCTGGTCGCCTCATTTTCCTTCTTCGCGTTCGCGTAACACGCCTCGCATTCGCGAAGCTCTGCCTTATCCTTCATCGCGTTCGCGCCGCCCTCACGCGTTCGCGTAGTTATGACGTTCCACTCTTCGCGTTCGCGAAGAGCAATCTCTGGGCCATAATATTTTCCTTCTTCGCGTTCGGTGCGTGCTGTTGCGTTCGCGAAGCACAACTGGGCAACCTTCCTTTTTCTTCTTCGCGAACGCGATACTTCCTCCGCGTTCGCGATGCTTTAAGACCCGGGCAGAATAAATAGTACTCTATTCCAAGGGTTTGCCATTTTCACCATTTTTGGAGTTCTAGAGCTCGATTTTGGGCAATTCCTTGTGGGATTTTCAAGCAAAACGATTGGGTAAGTGTTCTTCACCTAGAATTGATTATATTCCATGAATTTGTCTTCATTTTTATCATTTAAATTGTGATTTGAGTTGAGTAAAATGTTGGTTTTTGAAGAAAATTCCTAATATGAAAAATCATGATTTGAGGGGCCAAATGGTATCGGAATTTAATAAATTTTGTACGGTTGAACTCATATTGGAATGGGTATTCGGTTTTTGTAAAATTTGTCGGGTTCCGAGGCACGGGCCCGGGGGTCGACTTTTGGACCGATTTTTAGATTTTGTTAAAGGTTGAGACTTTATAATCCGGAATAGTTTCTTATGTGTTTTATTTGTACTTTGAAGTTAATTTGGTTAGATTCGAGCCGTTCGGAGGTCTTTTCACCCGAGAAGTGCATTTTAGAGTATGCGGCCGGAAATCTTATATGGGTGCTTAGATAGGATGATGGAAGGTGAGTAATGTATTAGCCATTTGATTTGTGTACTTGAGTCCGGGTATGGAAATTTTGGTGTTCCCGAGGTTTTGGGACTAAATATCCCCATATGTGGGTTATTTCTTGTTAGTGGATTGTGAAGAAATGTTGAGAATGGGATAATTAATAGCATGTGTTATCGATAGGTTGTTGTGGATCTTTCTGAACAATATTTACCTATGTGGAAATAATCAAGATTTGGGTTGGGGGCTATTTGAGAGCTCAATGAGAATATATATCTTGTATCAGGTCAAGTTTGTGTGCTCCTGTGAGATAGCCATGGTTATGTTATCAGGCAGAATGAGTATTATCTCTGCCCCTAGCTTATGTTATGTACTACTCTTTTATGCTGTGTTAGGCGGTGAGGTTGTATGATTATTCCCCACGCATGTTGTAATTCTGTATAGGCCTTATGATTGATGCGTGCGAGATAGCCCTCGTGATGTTGATTTGCTCATGGCACCTTAGTTGTTCTTGCTTCTTTCATGTTTTAGCACTTCTATTCATTTCCCCACAGTTTTATTTGTGCACTCTGTTGTACTTGATATCAGTATTCATATGTTCAGTGAGCCCGAGCATTTTGGCTTGATGAGTATTTGGGAGCGGGCTGCACGCCGCAGCGAATGTTANTTTCTTGTGTTTATTTGGTGTTGTGTTTTCCCTCTGTGGGGCTATTTGATGAAGAACTAAACTTTTGTTGTTATACGTGTTGTACTCGTTAGATAATTCTTATACTCTGCTTTTCTTTATTTGTGCTGCATAATTGAGTAATTATTGGTTTGGTGTACGAATTGTGTAGTGTGAGAATCCGTGTGGTTCCGTGATGAGCTGTTAGTTGGGTTCCTTGTATTGGCTGAGATGAGATTCTTAGAGCTGAGATTAGTACTATGGTATTGGGGTGAGGAGTGTTTGGAAGTATGAGGGTGATTCTGCTAAGATTTGGGTAATGGCCCTTAGCGAGCGAGAGAGCTTCTTGACTTGTTGTCTTCATAGGCGGCTATGAGTTCCCGCATGTTTCTTTATCATGAGCAGTGATGTGGAGGTCCGGAACAGGGTTGTATTCAATGTGAAGTATATTGCCGTCATCCAGGATGTTATTTGAGCAACATTGGTGGTCAGATGTTATTGCTTCGGGCATTTGAGTTGTGTGGAGCAACATGTGATGGTATTCTGGATTGGAATTTGGCTTGATTTAGCTTGTTAAGGCTCATGCAGTGTGATGACGTGGAATTCGGATCCGATGATGAATTTCAGATGTTGAGGTTTGGGTTCTGTTCTAAGGTTATGGGCTAAGGAGGAGATGGGATCTTCAGTTAAGTTGCATTGTCAGTTCTGCTTAGGTTGGCTGATGGGGAATCACCCCCGGGTGTATGTATGGTGAGCTCATGCAGTGGTTCGATGGTTTTGGAACAACTCCGGGCACGTTCGAGGACGAACGTATGTTTAAGTGGAGGAGGATGTAACGACCCGGATGGTCGTTTTGAGGAATTGCGCCCGGTTCGGCAGTTTGAGATCTCGAGTAGCTTCACATTATGTATATCGACTTGTGTGCATGGTTGGATTCAGTTTCCGGATGAATCGGGGTGGAATTGGAAGAAGGAACCTAGTTTTGGAAGTCTAAACAGTGAAAAATTTGACTGGAATTAGACTTTTGAGTAAACGGCCCCGGAATGGGTCGTGGATGATCTCAACAGCTTCTTATGGTAATTTTTGACTTAGGCGCGCGTCCGGATTAGGATTTGGAGGTCCGTAGGGTAATTTGAGGTGTTTTGGCGAAAGTTGGAAAAGTTGAAGTTTGGAAAATGGAGAGGTTTGACTCAAAGTTGACTTTTGTGATATCGGGGTCGAAATGCGATTTCGAGAGTTAGAACAGCTCCGTTATGTCATTTTGGACTTGTCTGCAAAATTTGGTATCATTCCGGGTTGATTTGATAGGTTTCGGCACGAATTTTGGAAGTTGGATGGTTTGAAAGTTCCTAAGCTCGATTCTTGGTGTGATTTGTTGTTTCGGCGTTGTTTGATGTGATTTGAGACCTCGAGCCAGTCCATGTTAGGTTATATGACTTGTTTGTGTGTTTGGACGGGGTCCCGGGAGCCTCGGGTGTGTTCCAGGTGGGCTACGGGTCATTTTCCCATTGTTTGGACTGCTGTATTCTGCTTCTAGTATTCCTTCTCCGCGGTCGCGAACAGCCTTTCGCGTTCGCGATGTGTTGTTGCTGGTCGCCTCATTTTCCTTCTTTGGGTTCGCGTAACACGCCTCGCATTCGCGAAGCTCTGCCTTATCCTTCATCGCGTTCGCGTCGCCCTCACGCGTTCGCGTAGTATGCCGTTCCACTCTTCGCGTTCGCGTACTAGTTCACGCGTTCGCGAAGAGCAATCTCTGGGCCATAACATTTTCCTTCTTCGCGTTTGCGTGTGTGCTGTCGCGTTCGCGAAGCACAACTGGGCAGCCTTCTTTTTTCTTCTTCGCGAACGCGATACTTCCTCCGCGTTCGTGATGCTTTAAGACCTGGGCAGAATAAATAGTACTCTATTCCGAGGGTTTGCCATTTTCACCATTTTTGGAGTTCTAGAGCTCGGTTTTGGGTGATTGCTTGTGGGATTTTCAAGCAAAACGATTGGGTAAGTGTTCTTTACCTAGAATTGATTATATTCCACGAATTTGTCTTCATTTTTATCATTTAAATTGTGATTTGAGTTGAGTAAAATATTGGTTTTTGAAGAAAATTCTTAAAATGAAAAATCATGATTTGAGGGGCCAAATGGTATCGGAATTTAATAAATTTTGTATGGTTGAACTCATATTGGAATGGGTATTCGGTTTTTGTAAAATTTGTTGTGTTCCAAGGCGCGGGCCCGGGGGTCGACTTTTGGACCGATTTTTGGATTTTGTTAAGATTGAGACTTTATGATCCGGAATAGTTTCTTATGTGTTTTATTTGTACTTTGAAGTTAATTTGGTTAGATTTGAGCCGTCCGGAGGTCTTTTCACCCGAGAAGTGCATTTTAGAGTATCGGTTTGCCGTCTTTGAGGTAAGTATCTTGCCTAACCTTGATGGGGGACTTCCCCTTAGGATTTGAGTCTTCTATGCTAATTGTAGTCTGTGCATGCGAGGTGACGAGTGTGTGCTCGGACTTATTTGTGAGAAATTTGCTCTAGGGTTCTTAGGTCCTTATGTTCATTATGTGGAAAATAGCCGTTATGATTGTATTTCCTAATTGCTTAAATTGCCTATATATGCTCCATATGATGTTGTTAGCTTTCCTCTAATTCTACGTGTTACATTGACCCTTATTTTCCTTAATTGAAGTGGTTGCCTTCCTTATTTTTTTGATACATCTTGATTGTGAGTTCCTCTATCACTTCGTGCAAATATGTTACATGTCCAATTGTTATGGTTACCGGTGTAGTTATCACGTGCTTATTATGTCTTGCTGTTTTGTTGAGGATATCGTGCTTCTTGGTTTTTTTTTTCGTGACCCTCACTATGTGTTGTTGATTCCCTTGCCGGGATGTTATTGATTCTGTTGTTGATTCCCTTGCCGGGATGTTATTGTTTCTATTGTTGGTTCCCTTTCCGGGATGTTATTGCTTCTATTGATTGATTCCCTTGCCGGGTTGTTGTTATTTCTACTGTTTGGGTGAGGAAAGAGTGATAAAGCACCAAGGGTGATGCCGTGCACATTCACATTTATATTGATGAATATGGTGAGGAAAGAGAGATAAAGCACGAAGGGTGATGCCGTGCACATTTATATTATTCATATGGTGAGGAAGAGTGATAAAGCACGAAGGGTGATGCCGTGCACATTTATATTATTCATATGGTGAGAAAGAGGGATAAAGCACGAAGGGTGATGCCGTGCACATTTACATTTATATTATTCATATGGTGAGGAAGAGTGATAAATCACGAAGGGTGATGCCGTGCCCATTTCTTTTATTGATTGCATGGTGAGGATTGAGAGTTTAAGCACGAAGGGTGATGCCGTGCACTTTCTGTTGGTGTGTTTATTTGTTGTTATCAATTTAAGTGTTTTTCTGTTGGTCGTGACAGTTTTCTCAACATGAGCAACTGTCACGACCCAAACCCCGCACTGGTCGTGATGACGCCTCTCGTGAAGACGAGGCCAGCCAACTAACCCAACTCGTCTTTTCAAAAGTAGTTAAACATAATTAAACAGCTTAAATATGACTTAATAGTATTAATTAGCGCAAATACAACCCAACACAACTCTAATCGGGGTGTCACAAGTCACGAGCATCTATAAGAATGTAATTACATTTACAAGTCTAAAAATACACTGAACAGGAATAATGAATAACATAGAAAGAAACGGTGCTGCGAACGCTGGCAGGCACCTCGCTCGACTACTACAGCTCTGCCTCCAAACAGCCAATACCCGCTACCGGGTGAATAAATACCTGCAACTGCACACGAGGTGCAGGGAGTAAAGTGAGTACACAACTCAGTGAGTAATAAAGGTAAATTACATCTGAGCAGTAAAAAACCACATAAAGCAACCAACATGTTGTATAGAAGCAGGGTACAATCCTTTGAGAAAATAGTGAAGCTGTGAAATCTTTAGAAATATATTGGCTCAGTTTAAATCTCTTTTGAAAATAATCTTTTCAACAGTTACGAAACGATTTCAAAACAGTTAGTGCTGATAAGCACAGAAAAAAATCCGCCCCTCGGGCACAAATTACCGCAGTATAACAGGTAAAAAGGCAAGTAATTATGCAAGATGAGCACATAAAAGTTTGCCCCTCGGGCAATATCTCAAAACAGTACCAGCCCCTCGGGCTCACTCTCAGAAACACTCTCAGCCCCTCGGGCTCTCTCTCTCAGATCACTCTCAGAACAGTATCATATAGTAACCTCTGCGGCGTGCAGCCCGATCCACATCTCGCTGCGGCATACAGCCCGATCCATATATCGTCGACGACGCTCACTGGGGGTGTGCAGACTCCGGGAGGGGCCCCTTACGGCCCAAGCGCAATATCAAGCCACCTCGTGGCATATAACATAAGGCCTGAAAGCCTTCTCACATCACTCACAAGGCCTGAAAGCCTCCTCACATAACTCACAAGGCCTGGAAGCCTCCTCACATCGCTCAACATATCCTCACATATGGCCCTCGGCCTCACTCAGTCCAGAAAACATCATAAGCCGCTCGGGCATCAATAAAATTGTAGTGCTCAGCCCAAGCAACAGTGGAAATATCATTTAAGTCTCAAAGTTCAATTAAAGCGGCTGAGTTTGTAAAACAGTATAATCAACAGGACTGAGTTCAAGTAGTATATCAAAATAGTGAGGAAACAGTGATAAAAATCCCCGAAGGGTTCAGATAATTGGCACAAAGCCCAAATATGGCAATCAGCCCAAATCATGATAATAACAAATAAGTTTCAGTCAAATACGCGGTAAAATCATCAATCGGCACGGACCAAGTCACAATCCCCCAACGGTGCTCTACCCCACGCTCGATATCCGGCGTGCAAGTCACCTCAATATAGCACTACGGTGTGCAATCTGGGATTTCAAACCCTCAGGATATCATTTACAATCATTACTCACCTCGAACCGGCGAAATCTCTACCATTTTTGATTATTCTCAAAGGATAATATTATTCTCTTTACCAAACATATGCGGATCCAATCAAGATTGACGCCTTGTCCCTCAAATCGGCCTCCACGCGTGTCGAATCTATCCAAAATCAAAGCGAATACATCAGAATATGCTAAGGGAACAAAGCCCAAGCGAAAACAATCAATTACGGGCACAAACCCCGAAATTACCAAAACCCGAGCCCCGGGCCCACTTCTCGAAACTCAGAAATTTTTACATCAATAGATTCCTTATCTCCTCACGAGTTCATACATACCAAAATTTCTCAAATCCGACCTCAAATGGTCCCTCAAATCCCCAAATCAAATTTCAAATCCCTAGGCCCCAAACCTTCGGATTTCACCCCAAAAACAAGTAATCTAGTGAGGATATTTGATGATAATCCCATATTATTGACTAACAATGACCGCAAGTGACTTATCTCTAGTTTTCACATGAATTCTTACTCAACAATCACCCAAAAACGAAATTGAAGATTAGGGTATAGAACCTTACCTCTTTGATGAAGAACATCAGGGATTTCTTGTTGGATTTCAAGGATTGGACAACATTTTTTGATGAACAAGGCACTTGAGCTTCTTCCTCTCTCTAGAATTGCTCTTCCCTCTCTCTAAAAGCTCCAGAAAACCCCAAAATAACAAACCCCAAACGAGTTAAATGAAATGGGGTTCGGGTCTTAAAAACCCATTTTTGTACTGCCACGCCGCATGGGGCACCGCATGGGGCGCCGCGGTAGTGTAAAATTCTACGCTGCTTTTGGTAATTTCGTCATAACTTCTTGTAGGAGTGTCCGAATGACGAACGGTTTGAAGCGGTAGAAACTAGATTCGAATATCTTTCATTTGATAGTTCATCACATAAATCCTTATATTTATTCAGATATTCTTGTCCAAAGTTTGGTCTTGTGCTGCTCATTTGAAACTTTCGTCCAAAATGAAACTTTTCAACTTGGCTTGGACTTAGGCCTCTCTTTAGACCCCAAATCACTTATAATATGCCCCGTACACTTATTATCATATCCAATTGATATCCATCATATTAATAGTCCTTGTTCGCAGACAAAATAATATAATTAGCGCACATCAATTTTCTTAATAGCACTTCAAAATTTTTCCGGGGCGTTACAGCAACATTGGCAGTTTAAAATTTGATGGAGTCCACAAGTAGGGCAATAATATGAGGCTTTACGAATTTCTCTGGATGAGTGTATCCATTTTGATTGTTCTTATATGCGACGTCAATCATGCGAGCAAGATTGAGAATACGAGTTAAAATCTCTGTAGAGACTGGAGTTGGTCTAAGAATTCCTTCATTTACATCCTTCAATGCTATTTCAGCCATTTCTTGAAATTTCTTCATTGCTTCTTCTGTAGAAACACCATAATCTCTCATGTAACACTCAATTCCTGTTGCAATTTGACCCCCACTTTTTCCGACCTGCAAAGGAATATAGATTGCATAGGAGCTTTATATTGCTTCAATTGTTATTATAGCGTTAGTTTGTTGAAATCATATGATTTCAGGAGATAATATCCATACCTTATACGTCGCTATATCATCAATAACTCTGCATAATGTTACATTAGCTTCAAGAATTTTAGGGTTCTTTGCTAACCACTCAAAATCCTTCTTGGTAACAGATTTCATGCCCAAATAGGACGTTGTAGTTAACAAGTAATAAGTGCTAGTTATTAATGCGTTGCTCAAGTACTCAGAGACAGGTGGCATATATCCTTCAATAATCCACTTCGCCTCAACGTTGTAATTCCTTACTATTTCTTTCATCTGTTAATACCAAGCAAATACATTCAACTGTCAGAAGTTACACCATAAAAATTGAAATTAATTTTATTGTTCCAAGTATAAAAAACTCGAGGATAAAGTAAAATTATATGAAAAATAGTGGATAAGTAAAATTGAAAAATATATTTTTAGTATAATAAATAAGTAAAAGTGAACGGAGGGAGTATGTGTTGTATTTTTATCCTGTTGAATAAAGTTGTTAGAGAATTGTTTTTGCGGTTGTGTAGTGCACTTGCTAACGAGGACTGTCTTTAAATCCTTGCAACAATAATGCTACACGTGTTATGAATCCACTTGCACCCTATTTATAATACATTAAGAAAATGAATAAAAATTGAAGCTCCTTTTCTAGTTCTCTTGTTTTACCTTCAATTTATATTATCTTAACATCATGCTCTTTTTTTTTTTTTTTTTTCCTTTTTATCATTTCCCGTTTATACATCTTAAGTTGAATATTTGAAGTTTCTAGTCACAACATCCCCACTAAAACAATAGTTTGAAACTTCCAAAAATTGAGATATTTGACAAGGTCAACTTCCACACAAGAATATGAGAGAAAGGTGGACCTATTGTAATTGAAGAGTACTCCTTATAGAAGTTTGTTTTGTGTTTGCTCTCTTTCATCTTCTTTTATACTTTTCCTTCTAGTTTTTAGTTTGTATAAATCAGAACAAAAGTTTTTAGCTGGTTTTTGTTTTGTCCATCATAACAAATGGAAAAGGATATAATCAAATTGTAACCTTTACAGCCTCCACGTTGTTTATAAATTCTCAATTCATAAAACATTCATAAAAGTTTAACTTTCGTGGGGTTGAGGGTTAGATCACTCATTGAGCTTCTGTTGAGGTTTTAAGCTAAATAGGCATAAAAGAGGGTGAATGGGAAATGGAGGGAATATGAAATTTTTAAGTAAAATTTAAGTTTCCCCCCTTGACAAAGAGACATTGTCCCATATTGGAAGAGGAAAAAGTTTTTGATGGGTATATATACAATTGCTCTTCTTGTAGCTCTTAAAGAGTTAAGAATAAGGCAAGCCTCGCGCCGTCATCGTCGCTCGGCTTCAGCTTCGGATTTGGTTGATTGATTAATTTTTTGGACCAAATTATTTCTTAATAGAAAATATTAACAGAAAGCCAAAGGAATATTAATATTAAATCCAACGGAAATATTAAACGTTTTATTTCCGTTATCTGTTTTCACTTTTTCGGTTTTGTAACTGAAAATTAACCTCCCTCTTTAATTCCCGATTTATTGTTGCGTAAATAGCAATTTATGTTATGGTCGTTTTACATAAAAAGCCATTTTGAAGAGTTGCATCTCTTCAGTTTTGAGCTCAACATTGGCTATAAATACCAGTCCATTCTCTCAGATTTTCCGTACGATTTTCTGAGTTCTCCTCGTTTCTTCTGCATTTTTTTTAACTTCAAAGAAAGCAACAGTAAATGTGATTTGCTACCGAACTTTGTGTTCACTGAAACACTGGGGTTTGAAGTACCACTACACCAGTGTGTAATTCGTTCTATCCTGGAAGGAAATAATCTACAACCTTGGGTACAAAGAGGGGGTTAAATTCCATAAGGTAACACTGTGAATTCAGTGGGCTCAATTAACTTCTGTTTCTTTTAATTTTCGGTTTATATGTTATTTTATTTTCTCCAGAATTATTTTACAAATACAATTTACTAACAAGCTTAAGGAATTTAAATTTATTTTCTACATTTGTGTTATATTCACTGTTCTGGAGATTAAAACCTTTATGGTTTTCTACTCCGTTGAAGATTAAAATCTACGTGATCTTAACGTTTGTTTGTGTCATTCTTTTACAGAAATGACTAATGACAACGGGAACCAAGCTGTTCCAAAGGTGATCTGTATAACGTCTACAATGGTGTGGAGACGTCAAAAGAATTGTGGACTGCATTTGAAAAGAAATACAAAACTGAAGATGTCGGGTTGAAGAAATTCGTTGCCGCTAAAGTTTTGGACTATAAAATGGTAGATAGCAAGTCTGTTATTACCCAAGTCCAGGAATTGCAAGTGATTATTCACGATCTCCTTGCTGAAGGTTTAAATCGAATTAATACTGATGTTGAAAGTAGTAATTTTAGTATTTTTTCTAACAGAATTTTCATTGAAGGTCTTGTCAACGATGAAGCATTCCAAGTAGCAGCTATGATTGAGAAGTTTCCCCCTTTGTGGAAGGACTTCAAAAACTACTCGAAACACAAACGCAAGGAGATGTCGCTTGAAGATCTCATTGTTCGGTTGGGAATCGAAAAGGACAACAAAGCTGCTGAAAAGAGAGGCCGTGGAAACTCAACAATAATGGGAGCAAAAATTGTTGAGGATACTTCTCAAAATAAGAGAAAGAGGAATCAGGCTTCTGGACCGAAAAACAACCCAAGCAAGAAGCGATTCAACGGAAATTGCTACAACTGTGGGAAAGCTGGACACAAATCTACAGATTATTGTGCTCCGAAGAAAGACAAGAAGAAGGGTCAAACAAACATGGTTGAAAAGCATGAAGATGTTGATGACTTGTGTGCTATGCTTTCTGAATGCAACCTGGTGGAATTCCTAAGGAGCGGTGGATTGATTCTGGAGCCACTCGCCATGTTTGTGCTGTTAGGGAAGCATTTGCTACATATGCTCCCGTTGGACCCGAAATTTGACCAAACAATGTTGTCAAATGATTTTTAGATAAATGAATGTGATAAATGTGTGTACATTAAAAATGTTCCAAATCACATAGTCATTGTTTCCTTATATGTGGATGATATGCTGATAATGAGTAATGACATTGCCAACATAAATGCTACTAAGCGTATGCTAACTAGCAAGTGTGTTATGAAAGACTTGGGAGTTGCTGATTTAATTCTGGGGATTAAGATCCATAAGACTCCTCAAGGTCTGGCATTGTCACAATCTCATTGTATTAAGACAGTACTTGAAAAATTCAAGCACTTAGGGTTCAAAGTTGCAAAGACTCCAATTGACGTGAATCTTGCATTAGCAAAGAACAAAGGCTAAAGCATATCACAATTGGATTATGCTCATGTGTTGGGATGCTTAATGTATATCATGAATTGTACACGACCAGGTATAGCTTGTTCTATAAGTAAATTGAGTCGATACATGAGCAATCCAAGTCAATCTCATTGGATGGCAAGGAAACGAGTTTTGGGATATTTAGAACATACCGCGGTTCAACTGATTCTAAGTCCACAAGTGGATATGTATTTCACTATTGGAGGAGGAGCGCTTTCTTGGAAGTCGTCCAAACAAACTTGTATTGCCCGTTCTACAATGGAGGCTGAGTTCATAGCCTTAGATATAGCCGGTGAAGAAGCTGAATGGCTCTGGAATTTCTTGGAAGACATTCCATTTTGGCCCAAACCGTTAGCACCAATATGCATACATTGCGATAGTCAAGCTGCAATTGGAAGGGCTGGGAGCGTTATGTATAACGGTAAATCTCGTCATATACGACGAAGACATAAAATCGTTAGGCAATACTCTCTAGAGGAATTATCACGATTGACTACGTAAAGTCAAGTGATAATATGTCGGATCCACTTACAAAAGGCCTAACTAGAGAGGTAGTTGAGAAATCATTGAGGGGAATGGGACTATGGCCGAGTACAAGTCATTGTGGCGGTAACTCTACCTAGAAGACTGGAGATCCCAAGATCTAGGTTCAAAGAGATCAAACAAAGTCATTAATGACGGTTCAACATTGTCAACTAAAATTTTGGTCCATTCTCGTGATGAGACAATGTTAAGTACCAAGGATAAAGCATTAAGGCTTTTTAATGATTTTTAAATTAGATACGAGGTATATCAAATAGTGTATCTACGGGATGACATGTTTAGGAATCATCTATGTAAGTGTGAAGTGTTAGCCGCTTCAAGGAGAATTTTGTAAGGCCAGTTCTCTACGCACTTATGAAACCAGGCGGTGTTCATGGCTGAAACGAACACAACAATGAGAACCAAAGACGGTTAAGGGTTGATTGTGTGATTTATGGTTGTCTAGGTATACGCCAAAGTTCGACGGTTCAAAGATAACAAATCTACCGATTGACCGAGTATATTCGACATAAGTTCACTATGGAAAGTTCAAAGGGAAACCTACTTATCCAGATGCAATTAATCCTTGCTTGCGAATCACATAGTTTTTCATGGATATTTCCGTGATATAGCCATTCCCCATTCATGTGGGGGATTGTTGAGGTAATAAGCTAAACAGGCTTAAAAGAGGGTGAATGGGAAATTTTTAAGTGAAATTTTAAGTTTTCCCCCTTGACAAAGGGACATTGTCCCATATTGGAAGATGAAAAGGTTTTTGATGGGTATATTTTTTTTCTCTTCTTGTAGCTCTTAAAGAGTTAAGAAGAAGGCAAGCCTCGCGCCGTCGTCGTCGTCGTCGGTCGCTCGTCTTGGCTTCGGCTTCGTCTTCGGATTCGGCTTTAGATTCGGATTTGGATTTGGTCAAATGATCGATTGATTGATTAATTTTTTGGACCAAATTTATTTGTTAATAGCAAATATTAACAGAATCCAACGGAATATTAGTATTAAATCAACGGAAATGTCACGACCCAACTTTCCCTCCGTTTGGGTATCGTGATGGCACCTAGTCTTAGGGATTAGGTAAGCCTAACTCATGCTGAGATACCACATTAATAAATGAAATTTAACAGTCTTGAAGCAAAAATCTGTACAAAAGTTATAATTCCCAAAACCCGGTAGTACAAGTCGTAAGCTCTACAGAGTTTCGCTACAACTTCTAAACACAACCGTATGGAAATAAGTACAACAGCCTGAATATAAAATAGGAAGGTGACTCCGAAGCCTGCGAACGCAGCAGCAGGACTACCTTGACTCTTCTCGGCAAGAATCCGCACAGCTACTAGTGAACAATACCTGGATCTACACACAAAAAAATGTGCAGAAGTGTAGTATGAGCACACCACAGCGGTGCCTAGTAAATATCAAGACTAACCTCGGTGGAGTAGTGACAAGGAACAGTCAAAACACCTACTAATCTAATATACAGAACATGATATTTATATAGAGACTACGCGATACGGCTAACAATACAGTAATTAAAATAAGGAAGGAAAACAACAAGTACTCAGGGAAAACACCGTAAGGAAAATACTTAAAGGTAAGAGAGAATACAACCCAAATCCGAAATCACAAATACAGTAAAGACAAGTCATAACTCAATAGCTCCGATAGTTTTCACCATAAGTCTTAACCAGCAAGCGTCAATCAAATAGTCCAACCTTTCAAGTGATAAAAGAAAAAATGTTTCGAAATATACTTCATTCAAATAAATGTTCATCCACCTTCTTTTTTAAAAAAAAAGAGTTCTTTCAAAATAAAGTCTTTTCGAATATAATCTTTTTAGATAGATAACCTTCGCATATCAGTCACCCGGTGACACCTCATCTCATAATCATATAATACGGGTCTCAATACCTGAACCCTAACACTTGGCATCCTGTGCCCTCATCACACCTCCTAATCATACTAACAACTCACGTGCCCAAAAGAGTCATTCTCACATGGAAGGAAAATAACAAGGGTGTCTGTCTATACTCAGAAATCTCAAGGAGCCTCCTATCCGATAAGGGTGATTAACCATGTGTATGCTTGTGCAAGTGTCCTAACATAGTTCATAACAACTAGTAAGTACAAGTACTAGAACGGACAACACCTATAATGTTTACACAGTTATAGGATCAATGAAACATCAGCTCAGAACGCAATGATTTTTAACAGGGGATCTCCCAGGATATCGTTCCGTAGTCCCAAACGTAAATACTCGGGGATCCCTCGGTATCCTCAATATATGTGCCGGGGATCTCTTGGTATCCCGAGGATCTCTTAGTATCCTCAATATGTCCTGGGGATCTCTCGGTATCCCGAGGATCTCTTAGTATCCTCAATATGTGCTGGGGATCTCTTCGTATCCCGAGGATCTCTTAGTATCCTCAATATGTGTGCTGGGGATCTCTCGGTATCCCGCACTACAGTCCGAATCAATATATGTGTACAGGGGAATCTTCCGGGTGCAATCTCGTAGTCCCAAAAGTAAATATACAGGGGGATCTCCCGGGTGCAGTCCCGTAGACCCAAAAGTAGATATGCAGGGGGATCTCCCGGGTGCAGTCCCGTAGTCCCAAAAGGAAATATGCAGGGGGATCTCCCGGAACACCGATCCGTAGTCCCAAAGTAAACATGCAGCGCAACCAACAGAAACAACAATCATAACACAACAGAAAGCTCGTACATCACCACAATACATAAAACAAAAACAATGACAATAATACAAGGTAAGACAAGTATATCAACTTAAGGACTGTAAATCGCAAGGAAACGGTAGAACCAGCTCACAAGGAATAACCACAGAAAAGAATGCTGGCATAAAGGAACAGTTCAACAATGGAAAAACTAATATATAGCGACGATCCCACAACATACATGTCAATAAGAAGGAAATCAACACGAGTCAAATAGTCCCAAATAAGGGCAAGTCAACAAGGACATAGGTTATCTAACTTCTTTTAAGATTGGACAATTTCGAGAATATTCGGTTATTCAATTAGGGGAAGAACACTAAGTCCGAGCATGCACTCATCACCTCGCGTACACGAACTACAATCAGCATAGAAGACTCAAATCCTAGGTGGAAGTCCCCCACACGAGCCCGCACCTCGGAACCCAACAAATTTCACAAAACTCGAATGCCCATTCCGATACGAGTTCAACCATACAAAAACCAACTCCTTCCCCAACCTAAAACACAATTTTTCATTTTAGAAATTTTCTTCAAAAACCAACTCCTTCCCCAACCTAAAACACAATTTAAATGATGAAAATGAAGATAAAATCATGCAATATGTTAGATTTTAGGTGAAGAACACTTACCCAATCGATTTGCTTGAAAAACCCAAAAAGAAGCTCCCAAATCCGAAAATTAAAACTCAAAATATGAAGAAAAATGGCTAACCCTCGATATAAAAGGATTCCGCCAGGACTTCCGCGTCTGCGGTCGAGAAACCGCATCTGCGGGGCCGCATTTGCGAGAAGGAGTCCGCATATGCGAACTTTGGCTACTTGGCCTGGGACCGCATCTGCTGAAATTAACCGCATCAGCGCACCGCAGGAGCGAAAAGTAGAGCCGTAGAAGGGAGAATTTACCCAGGCGTGCATGACCACAGAAGCGTCCGGGCTCACGCAGAAGCGAAGCCGCACCTGCGCTCCAAGGTCGCAGGTGCGGAAACACCAGAACCAGACCTGCTTAGAACTATGCAAAACATCTGAACCTCGTCCGAAACACACCCGAGGCTCCCGGGACCCCGCCTAATCACGCAAACATGTTCTATAACCTAAAACGGACTCGCTGAAGGTCCCAAATCATATCAAACAACACCGGAAATACACATCGCGCCAAGAATCAAACTATGAACTTCCAATTCTTCCAATTTTGAAAACTCGAGCCGAAACCGATCAAATCAACTCGGAATGATGCCAAATTTTGTAGACAAGTCCATTATGACATAACGGAGCTGCTCCAGCTCTCGGAATCGCATTCCGACCCTGATATCGCAAAAGTCAACTATGGGTCAAACTTCTCCATTTTCCAAACCTCAACTTTTCCAACTTTCGTCGAAACGCCTCAAATTACCCTACAGACCTCCAAATCTGAATCCGGATGCACGCCTAAGTCCAAAATCACCATACGAAGCTGTTGAGATCACCCAAAACCCATTCCGGGGCCGTTTACTCAAAAGTTCAATTCCGGTCAAATTCTCACCGCTCAAGCTTCCAAAACTAGAATCCTTCTTCCAATTCGACTCTGAATCATTCGTTAACTGAATTCAACCATGCACGCAAGTCGATGCACATAATGTGAAGTTGTTCCAGACCTTACGCCGCTGAACGGAGCTTAAATTCTCAAAACGACCGGCCGGGTCCTTACTCCTCCCCCTCTTAAAACTAACGTTCGATCTCGAACGTGCCAAGATTTGCCTCGAAGTCCTCAAATCATTGAATGCACACTTCCAGCATACACCCGCGGGTGATCCCACGTCACCCCAATCCACATAAATTTGACGACACCATCTTAACTGAAATTTAGCCTTTCTAGCAATACCAATAAGCCTTAGAGCCAAAATCCCCATCTCCCCTTCATTTCCAAGAAATCCGATTTTAAATCCATATCCGGTATCAGTTTCAGCTAGCTGCAACCACTTATGCCTACCCCCACAGAGTACAACCACACAACATACACATCACACATAGGCCTATAATAACATTCCTGATCACAATACTTGCCCGAAATCAAATCCTGCACCAGCCATAAGCCTTATATTCGATAGGAACCCGTTTCAAACCTCCACAACACTGACGATGATACAACAACCACGAAAACCACATAACTAACACCCGAATCGCCAAATCACAACTAATAACAACGGGCACACACCCCACAAGCTATAACTCAAGAAGCACAGAACGAAAATGACTGAATATGGAAAGGGAAACACATAAAGGAACTATCAAACAAGTCCGTCAAGCACAAATGTTTCTATCAAAACTCATTTACAAAACAATCTAACAAGAAAGAATTAAAGCATATAAAAGAATCACAAGGATCTCATATTGATATAACTCCCACAGCGGTACACAGCCCGGTCTCATCACATCAAATCACATGAAATAACGAGGGTCCTGTCCTCAACTCTGAATCTCAAGTAGGGTACACATCAAATCAGTTGGAACCTCTCACTAGATCAATTCCTCCAACAAAATTACAACCCGTACTGGCTCCCACACCGGTGGAGCATAAAATCACGGCTCGTAGCCAATAATACTCATAAATCACATCAAGCCTACCGAAAAGGACAACAAGAATTTACCACTAGTCTCATAACTCTCAACAAGGACTAGAAACAGACGATAGGCACGACTATCACTCATAGAACCTCCCAACAATGTAATCACATAAACAGAGTGCAAATCATGAAGCACACCCATAAGTGGAGCAACAGATAGGGGAACTTACCCCGATAAGCAGAACTTAGATGAAATACGGATGGTGCTCCCCCATAACAAACTGAAAGCATACCTGAATGACATCATCTGGTGCTGCAGCCTCAAGCCTACCATGTGGAACACATCAACAGGCCGGGCCTCCCCCTCTTGGGCGCCCTTTACTCGCCCGAATACCTCGCTGTGGCACATCGGCCCGAAGTTTGGAACAATCTCTCACCATATGGCTAATATCTCTACACTTGAAGCAACCCCTCTACTGACGTGGCTGTGGGGACTGTGCGGCACTGGTACTCTGAGACCAATGAATACCTGAATCACTGAGTAAAGCCTGAAGCGCAAACTGAACTGGCTGACCCACTAAACCTCTACTATGTCTCACCCTGCCTCTAAAATAAAGACCAGCAGATCTCTCCGGTCTACGAGGCCTTCTTGCCTCCCTATATTCTCTCTCTCCTGATCTCGTCTCCCCTCTCTCTGATAGCCTCGCCTGACCTCTCCTAGCAATACTCATGGTCTGCTGATACGAAATATCAATCTCTAACTCTCAGCCATGCTAGTCCTGATGCTGGGATGGAGTCCCTCAATAAACCGGCGGACCCTCTCCCGAACAGTAGAAACCAAGGTCGGCACATGTCTGGCCAATCACTGAATCTGAAGGCGTACTCTGATATTGACATAGTGCCCTGGCGTAGCTGCTCAAACTCCGCGCGCCATGCAACCCGAAGGAACTGAGGTACGAACTCTCTCAGGAACATTTCCGAAAACTGAATATATGTAAGTGAAACTGGCTCGGCCGGACTACCCAACTCATGTGCCCGCCACCACTGATAAGCCGCTCCCCTAAGCTGGAATGTAGTAAAAACATCCCCACTCGACTCAACAATACCCATAGTGTGAAGAACGCGATGGCACTCCTCCAGAAAACCCTGTGCACTCTCTGAAGTCGAACCACTGAATGTAGGAGGGTTACTCTTTCTTGAACCTTGAAATTCTAAGTTGCTCTCCCTCGGATGCTGCTGCCCTGACCATGGGCTGAACTGAAACCACAAATTGTGTCGCCATGATGCTTGGAACCTGACCAACGAAAACTCGCTGCTCTGACTGTGGTCTAGCTGCAGCACGTATACCTCGTCGGCCTTTGCCTCTGTCTCTAGCGATACCTGCTCCGGAAGCAGCGTTATCGAAAACCGCAGCTCGTGTCCTCACCGTCGGTGAGAGAATGGAAGGATAAAAGTTCAAACTCCAAGATTAATAAGCTCGCACAATAAGAGTGAAGGAAGTGAGATTGTCCTAATAGTTCCGTAGCCACTTGAAGATAAGTACAGACGTCTCCGTATCGATCTGCAAGACTCTACTAAACACGCTTATGACTCGTAGCACCTATGAACCTAGGGCTCTGATACCAACTTGTCACGACCAACCTTTCCCTCCGTTTGGGTATCGTGATGGCACCTAGTCTTAGGGAGTAGGTAAGCCTAACTCATGCTGAGATACTACATTAATAAATGAAATTTAAAAATCTTGAAGCAAAAATCTCTACAAAATTTATAATTCCCAAAACCTGGTAGTACAAGTCATAAGCTCTACAGAGTTTCGCTACAACTTCTAAACATAACCGTATGGAAATAAGTACAACAACGTGAATAAAAAATAGGAAGGTGACTCCGAAGCCTGCGAACGCAGCAGCAGGACTACCTTGAGTCTCCTCGGCAAGAATCCGCACAACTACTAGCGAACAATACCTGGATCTGCACACAAAAAAATGTGCAGAAGTGTAGTATGAGCACACCACAGCGGTGCCCAGTAAGTATCAAGACTAACCTCGGTGGAGTAGTGACGAGGAACAGTCAAGACACCTACTGATCTAATATACAGAACATGATATTTATATAGAGACTACGCGATACGGCTAACAATACAGTAATTAAAATAAGGAAGGAAAACAGCAAGTACTCAGGGAAATCACCGCAAGGAAAACACGGAAAGGTAAGCGAGAATACAACCCAAATCCGAAATCACAAATACAGTAAAGACAAGTCATAATTCAACAACTCCGATAGTTTTCACCTTAAGTCTTAACCAGCAATTGTCAAACCTTTCAAATGATAAAAGAAAAAATGTTTCGAAATATACTTCAGTCAAATAAATGTTCCTCCTTCTTTTTTTTAAAGAGTTCTTTCAAAATAAAGGCTTTTCGAATATAATCTTTTCAGATAGATAACCTTTGCATATTAGTCACCCGGTGACACCTCATCTCATAATCATACAATACGGGTCCCAATACCTGAACCCTAACACTTGGCATCCTGTGCCCTCATCACACCTCCTGATCATACTGACAACTCACGTGCCCAAAAGAGTCATTCTCACATGGAAGGCAAATAACAAGGGTGTGTGTCTATACTCAGAAATCTCAAGGAGCCTCCTATCCGATAAGGGTGATTAACCATGTGTATGCTTGTGCAAGTGTCCTAACATAGTTCATAACAACTAGTAAGTACAAGGAATAGAACGGACATCACCTATAATGTTTACACAAGGATTGGATCAATGAAACATCAGCTCAGAACGCAATGATTTTTAACAGGGGATCTCCCAGGATATCGTCCCGTAGTCCCAAATGTAAATACTCGGAGATCTCTCAGTATCCTCAATATATGTGCTGGGGATCTCTTGGTATGCCGGGGATCTCTTTGTATCCTCAATATGTGCTGGGGATCTCTCTGTATCCCAAGGATCTCTTAGTATCCTCAATATGTGCGCTGGAGATCTCTCGGTATCCCGCACTACAGTCCGAATCAATATATGTGTGCAGGGGAATCTCCCGGGTGCAGTCTCGTAGTCCCAAAAGTAAATATGCAGGGGGATCTCCCGGGTGCAGTCCCGTAGTTCCAAAAGTAAATATGCAGGGGGATCTCCCGGGTGCAGTCCCGTAGTCCCAAAAGTAAATATGCAGGGGGATCTCCCGGGTACAGTCCCATAGCCCCAAAAGTAAATATGCAGGGGGATCTCCTGGAACACCGATCCGTAGTCCCAAAGTAAACATGCAGCGCAACCAACAGAAACAAGAATCACAACACAACAGAAAGCTCGTACATCACCACAATACATAAACAACAACAATGATAATAATACAAGGTAATACAAGTAAATCAACTTAAGGACTGTAAATCGCAAGGAAACGGTAGAAACAGCTCACAAGGAATAACCACAGAAAAGAATGCTGGCATAAAGGGAACAGTTCAACAACGGGAAAACAAATATATAGCGACGATCCCACAACATACAAGTCAATAACAAGAAAATCAACACGAGTCAAATAGTCCCAAATAAGGGCAAGTCAACAAGGACATAGGTTATCTAACTTCTTTTAAGATTGGATAATTTCGAGGATATTCGGCAATTCAATTAGGGGAAGATAATCTTAGCTTCACTTAAGACTAAATAATTTCAGGAGGGGTAATAATAATTCTCAAATAAGATAAGCAACTATGAAAAGATAGCATGACAATAGGAGAGGCGCAATTCTTCTGTTAAATCAATTAGGAGTCAATTAGGCAATAAGAGTGAATCATGAAGCAATTAATTCCAAATAAGCATGTGGAGGTGAAACAAATAAATAAGAAACTCAGTCATGTCAAGAACACATTCCTACACAGTGAATATAAAGACCTAAGAACCCTAAAAGCCAACTTTTCCTCAACTAAGTCCGAGCACGCACTCGTCACCTCGCGTACACGAACTACAATCAGCATAGAAGACTCGAATCCTATGGGGAAGCCCCCCACACAAGGTTAGGCAAGATACTTACCTTAAAGATGACATACCGATACTCTAAAATGCACTTCTCGGGTGAAAGATCTCTGGGCGGCTCAAATCTAACTAAATTAACTTCAAAGCACAAATAGAACACATAAGAAACTATTCCGGATCATAAAGTCTCAATCTTTAATAAAATCCAAAAATCGGTCCAAAAGTCGACTCCCGGGCCCGCACCTCGGAACCTAACAAATTTTATAAAAACCGAATGCCCATTCTGATACGAGTTCAACCATACAAAATCTATCAAATTCCGATACCATTTGGTCCCTCAAATCACAATTTTTCATTTTAGAAATTTTCTTCAAAAACCAACTCCTTCCCCAACCCAAAACACAATTTAAATGATGAAAATGAAGATAAAATCATGGAATATGTTAGATTCTAGGTGAAGAACACTTACCCAATTGATTTGCTTGAAAAACCCTAAACGAAGCTCCCAAATCCAAAGTTTAAAACTCAAAATATGAAGAAAAATGCCTAACCCTTGGTATAAAAGGATTCTGCCAGGACTTCCACGTCTGTGGTCGAGAAACTGCATCTGCAAACTTTGGCTACTTGGCCTGGGACCGCATCTGCGAAAATTAACCGCACAAGCGGCACCGCAGGAGCGAAAAATGGAGCTGCAGAAGCGAGAATTTACCCAGGCATGCATCACCGCAGAAGCGGCCGGGCTCACGCAGAAGCGGAGCCGCACCTGCGCTCCAAGGTCGCAGGTGCGAAAACACCAGAACCAGACCTGCTTAGAAACACCAGAACCATACCTGCTTAGAACTATGTAAAACATCCGAACCTCGTCCGAAACACACCCGAGGCCCCCGGGACCCCGCCTAATCACAGAAACAAGTTCTATAACCTAAAACGGACTCGCTCAAGGTCCCAAATCATATCAAACAACACCGGAAATACACATCGCGCCAAGAATCAAACTATGAACTTTCAATTCTTCCAATTTTAACTCGAGCCGAAACCGATCAAATCAACTCGGAATGAAGCCAAATTTTGCAGACAAGTCCAAAATGACACAACAGAGCTGCTCCAGCTCTCGGAATCGCATTCCGACCCTGATATTGCAAAAGTCAACTATGGGTCAAACTTCTCTATTTTCCAAACCTCAACTTTTCCAACTTTCGTCGAAACGCCTCAAATTACCCTACAGACCGCCAAATCTGAATCCGGATGCGCTCCTAAGTCCAAAATCACCATACGAAGCTGTTGAGATCACCCAAAACCCATTCTGGCACCGTTTACTCAAAAGTCCAATTCTGGTCAAATTCTCACCGCTCAAGCTTCCAAAACTAGAATCCTTCTTCCAATTCGACTCCGAATCATTCGTTAACTGAATTCAACCATGCACGCAAGTCGATACACATAATGTGAAGCTGTTCTAGACCTTAAGACGCTGAACGGAGCTTAAATTCTCAAAATGACAGGGCGGGTCGTTACAGAAAATATTAAACATCTTATTTCCTTTATCCGTTTTCAGTTTTTTTGTTTTGCAACTGAAAATTAACCTCCCTCTTCAATTCCCGGTTTATTGTTGCATAAATAGTCATTTATGTTATGGCCGTTTTACATAAATAGCCATTCTAAAGAGTTGCATCTCTTATGTTTTGGGCTCAACATTGGCTATAAATACCAGTCCATTCTCTCAGATTTTTCATATGATTTTTTGAGTTCTCATTCTGTCTT